AACCTAAAATTACAAGTAAGATTGGATTTGCGACCTACCACTTATAAAAAGCATAATGTGAGGCCTTTAGCCCAGAAAAAAAAATTCTCACAGTAAATAAAGAGCTATGACATAATACCATACTCTCATAGGCAGTATTTTTGAGTTTTGACACAACTTTGAAAGTAAAACAAGCAAGTTAGTACTCCAGTATTAAGCACCCATATGGCTGGAATAACACAGCAAGAATTCTTGACAAGCATGAGCAAATCAGTAAATGGTAACAAAGGGGAAAATACCTCAACTATATGCATCCTTCTGGATAGAGTCAGAATTGAAAAATGATGAATATATAAGGCTCACATAAAACTATCTCTATCATTAAAAATTTATGTGAGGAGAACGTTCTAGTACCTGGTATTTGAATTCTTTTTTTCTTTTTTTTTTGATGAGTATACCCAGGACTAAACATCTAGCCCAGCATGCTGAGCATCACGCCTCACAAATCGACAGACACATGGCAGTGGTAAGCTAAAGTAAGTGAAGCCACGTGGCAAGTGCAGCGCCTCCTTTGCTAGCACATCTGCAGCAAGGTTCCTCTCCCTGCTGCACCAGGTCACTGATGCGTCCCAGTCACGAGCCATGCATCCAAGGATCTCTGTAACCATGCCATCGTCGTCGTCCCCAGTCAAGCCACTTAAGTGAATGTGATCAACCAACTCAAGACAATCAGATTCTATCACTACGGCCTTGTATCCATTGTCCCACGCCACCTTCAAGCCCCATAGAACTGCCCAAGCTTCAGCCTCGAAACTATTCCCCTCCCCCATATTAAACAAGAACCCTCCTAGTACCTCTCCACGATGATTTCTTATTAGCCCGCCACAAGCAGCACCTGTCCCGTCAACCGTTGCTGCACCGTCAACGTTAAACTTAACAGAGTCAAGTGAAGGAGGTTCCCACACTTCCCCGCCCTTCAAAGCACCGCCCTTATGACATATGTAGCCAGTACCCCACCTCGCGCAGGCTTGTACTTGTGCTATGACAACCTCCGAAGATGCCGGAACATTCTGAAACACTTTCAAGTTGCGTTGTAGCCATAATTGTCTGCAAGCTCAACCAAAGCACACACTCCAACAAACCCCCGCCACCTCAAACTTTTGTCGTAGGTTCCAACTGACCCAGTTCTTCGTTTCGTGAAAGGAGAAGAAAGTAGATACATAATTGGTAGGAATCAGCCTTAACCAGACCTTGCAAGCCACCATGCAGTCACGTAACACATGCAAAGTTGATTCTGGTGTATCTGGGCATATCCCTTTTGTACCTAGTTTCGTTCGTAAGCAGGCGATTCTGAGAGCACAGCCAGAGAAAAGTACGGCATCGCTATGGGACCCTCAGCTTCCAAATACTTCTCTATAACCACTTTGAGGACCTATCCCGAGTCAGTCGCAGACTATCATACGCTGACCGAGTAGAGAACGCACCTGACGGTGACCAACGCCACTGAGGTTCGTCCTCTTGTGAACTATCAACGCGTACCCGACAAACTGGCGATAGCACTGGGTCGGGCAGATAGGTAGCAAGTAAAGATGTCTTCCAGTAACCACGTTCATCCACATAGTGCGAGATCTTGAACTCCCGTTCATCCTCAGGTACCATACCTGTAGCAACAGCACGAAGGCACTCAAACCCCGGGCACCAATAATCTTGCCAGAACCTTATGTTGCGCCCATTTCCCACCTTCCATTTAATGCCCGACACTACTGCATTCCAACTTGACTTCATGCCTCTCCAAGCGGTCGAGGCTGCTTGCTTAGAATCCATTCGGGGCAGAATATCATTACCACATCGGTATTTTTCCAGCATGAACTTGACCCATAAAGTATCTCTTTTTGTTACCATCGCCCAACCTAACTTATCATGAATGCCCTATTTTGCAGAGGCGCACTTCTCATACCCAGTCCACCCTCCTCCTTCTTCCTACAAACCTTATCTCAGGAGACCAGATGAGTTTTGTTATTCCCCGTTGCCCCCCCCACAAGAACTTTCTACACTTCTTATCGATGTCCCGCAAACAGAGGCGGGTAGCAGGGCTGACTGCATATCGTACGAGGGAATCGCTGTCATCACAGAGGACACCAGCATCGAGCGAGCAGCAAAGGATAGTGAGAGCGACTTCCAACTAGATAGACGTTTATCCATTTTGTCCAAAATATACTGGTACGTAGATTTGGAGACTCTTATAGTGAATGGGAACACCCAGGTATTTTCTGAGATCTGCTGACAGGGTGAAACCCAAAAAATTACTAATCTCACTAGCTCTGTTATGGTTAACATTTGAAGAGAAGAGGATTCTAGATTTAGACTCATTAACCTTTTCACCAGAAGCAGTGCAAAAATCATCTAAGCAAGCCTTGATCAACCCTGCTTGCTCAAGCGATGCTTTCGCAAATAAGAAGAGGTCATCCGCAAAGAACAAATGGGAGACTGGCGTGCCATTTTTCCTTAACCGGAACGGCAACCAGTTAGACTCTTCCACCTCAGATTGAATAAGATGCGTCAGCTTCTCCATCACAAGCACAAAGAGATATGGTGACATTGGGTCTCATTGTCTGAGCCCTCTCGAAGGGTTGAGGCACATTTCAATAACCCGTTGGACTTGCTTTGGTATTCCAATCTCTTTGAGACACTTAAGCACAAAAGACCACTTTACCTAGTCATAAGCTTTCCCCAGGTTGATCTTGATGGCCATAAACCCTTTCTGTCCTTTCTTACTTTTCATGGAATGAAAGATTTCTTGAGCTAGAACGACATTATCTACACCCTGCCTACCTAGAACAAAACTACACTGGTTTGGGGAAACCACCTGTGGCATAATCCGTCATAGTCATGTAGAGAGAGACTTCGTTAGCACTTTGTATATAACATTACATAAGCTTATTGGTCGAAATTCCCAAATCGTCTCTGGACAGTCCACCTTTGGAATGAGTACAATGTTTGTGCCATTTACTTCTTGAATCTTTAGAGGAAGTGTGAACATACTACATACCATGTCTGCAATATAAGGTCTGACCACATTCCATTGGCTTTAGAAGAACAGTGGGTTCAACCCATCGGGCCCTGGGGCTTTGAGTGGGCCCATCACAAAGACTGCTTGCTTAATCTCAACACCACTTAGATCCCTCCCCGGTGTATCCAACATATCTTCATCGATGCGAGGGAATCCTAGTCCAAATCTAATGTTGTCACCACGTTCTTCTCCCGCTGTGTATAAAGCTTTGAAGAACTTGGTCCTGCAACGCCTAATATCCTCCTGTTCATAGAGCCACTCACCACATCCTCCCCTTTTAGAGCTTTGATACGTTTCCTGCGCCTTCTACTGTTTGTCATTGCATGAAAGAACTTTGTGTTTCGATCACCTTCAATATACCAATTGCATCGGGATCGTTGCAACCACATCACTTCTTCCTGTAGGAGAATAGTCTCTAAATCCTCCCATAGCTTCCTCAGCTGTCGTTGCTTCACCGTAGCTGGCACACTGGCCCCATTTAGACGTTCCATCTCCCACAACAAAGACTACTTTTTCTTATTAATGTCCCCAAACACCTCCTTATTCCATTTCAAAACATTCCTTTGGAAAACTTCAACATTTTCACTCCACCCTCTTGAACCAACCCAGCAGATTCGAACACACTCAGGAAAAGATTCATGCGAGACCCAAGGTGCGAAGAATCTAAACTGTCATTCTGTTCTAGGCTCTCGATGACAGCCATTCAGATGTATTAAGAGCAGAGAGTGGTCTGAACAATAGCAGGGGAGGTGAGTCACCGTGGCATTTTGATAAGTGTCCAACCATTCCGGATTCGCCAAAACTCTATCAATCCTGCTACAACTTTCACCCCGACTCCAAGTGAACTTCGGCCCGGAAAACTCCACATCCATCAACCGCTGATTCGAGAACCACGCACCAAAGTTCCTGGCGGGCTCTGTCCCCCTCTTAAAAACAAAGATCCTATCCTCTTGTCTAAGTATCGCGTTGAAGTCCCCATATATGCACCATATTATAGAGACAGAAGCAGCAATATCTGATAGACAGTTCCAAAGCATACATTGTCTAACTGCATTCGGATGTCCATATATAATGGAGAGAGCCCACTCGTCTTGCCCTCCATTAATTCATCGTCCCATGCAAGACCTGATCATGTTTAGATACTACACAGAAATTGACTTCCTGCTTCCAAAAACACCAGATTCCCCCACTGTACCCATCGCATTCCAACACTGCCACCTCATCAAAACCAACTCATCTGGCTAGGTGAAGTGCCTTCTCCCCCTTCTGTCTTGGTTCTAAGATGGCCAGAAACTGCAAATTATGCCTCATACGGCGCTCATTCACAAGCTGCGTGAAGTGTTTTTTCCCCGAACCTATGGAATTCCAAACAAGCATATTAAGCATGGGAAAAACTAGCTGGGATTAAAAAACTTGTTAACACTGAGGTTAGGCTCCCCCCATCGGCCCACCGTCTCGTACCATAACCCCACTCCTCTCCAGCGTGTCTGACATAGGGTTCGTTCTTACCACATAAGCGGCTTGTCGAGAAGCTTTGGGGTCAAGAAGGTCCACATCCAATCCCATGTCCACCTCTCGTTCAGTAGGCTGATAAGGAACAATGCTCAAGGCATTTGACTCAACTTGATCAGGCCCACTATCTACTTCCATCACTCCCGCACTGGTTGTCAAGACCAGATGCTCACTTATTCGACCCAGGCCCAATCTCTCCTTAACTCGTCCATAAGCCTCCATTGGGCTGGCTATCGTCATTTTTTTTACCTGCTTGACCATCCTTCTTAGTACCCTGACCGTTGGCACTTTTCTGAGGTTGCACTTTCTTACTTTCCATCGGTATCCCTCCCTTGCGTGTCAGTTTGGCAGCTAGCTCGTTAGTACTGTTTAATGTTTCTTTCGCATTTATTTCCTCAGATTCTTCATTCACTAACATCGAAAATCTCGACCCTGATTGCTACCCATGATTCTCGTTGCTATGATTGCGTGATTCTCTCCCCTTCCCTTCTGGGCTAGGCACCCTCTTCCCCTTCCACGACTGCTGCACCACCATCCAGCCTCCGTAGGTAGGTTCGCCAGGAACTGACAGAGAACTTTCAAGTTGCACCCCTCTCTCCATGCCTTTGCCCCCTTTCTTGCCTCTCTTCCTCCCTTCCGAACAATAATCAGTGTCATGACCATACTTACCACAATTAAAACAGATCCGGTGCAGCCACTCATACTCCACCTTCTTCTCTTTCACATTCACCAAGATCACTGGTTGCAGTGGCTGTTTCAGATCTAAGTAGACACAGACTCTGGCAAATCGTCCCTTGGCTCCACTTGTCGTAATCTTATCAATTTTCAGCACATATCCTATTTGATTTCCTATAACATGTATGATGCCTTCATCATAATAATCCATCGGTAACTTCGCGATTCTAATCCAGGCCGCAATGGACGTAACTTCCTCCTCATCAAGGTCAAAATCCTCCTTCCATGGCTGCACACTTATATAGTGGTCGTATATGAGCCAGGGTCCTCCTATTAGCGCCAGATCGTAGGCCTTTTGATTGCCGCATTTTGCTAGAAAGAATCCTGAACCAATACCAATGACATCGACATCCCCCCAGAGTTGCTTCAGTTTCCCCCCGAGAGCCTCTTCACGGACCATCCTCCCCAAAACCATAATAATCAAGGTAGAGCTCTATTTTTCAGCCAAGGCAGCTTTGAACTCAAGAAGGAGAATGATATTCATGTTGGAAATTGTGCCCTAGGGGCCAATCATTATGTTTTGAACATTGTTAATTTATGAGTTTATTAATTACGTTATCATATTATTTGCATGTTTACTGTGATAACTATCCTTGGATAACTCATGGTTTATCCTAAATGTCCCTGGTCGGTCATCTATGTGGGAGCAAAGATGAAATAAGACCAGTATGACTTTAAAGATATATAGAGATATAAATTAAAGTCATAGGCACATGTAAGAGTACAAGGTGTTGGACCGACCTGCTATGAGAGAGCTGCATGGGTTAAGTCATAAGCTTCTCTCATATACAAACCATGTCACTGTGCCCTTTGACCTGAGATCATCATGGATTCATACATGAGAAACGCTTAGCTTTGACCTAGTCAAAAGTCACTTTTGACCAAGTGATCATAAAGACTATGTTCAGGCTTAGTGGTTTTTCATGCGTAGGAATGTGAATGGTCAAGATGGAATTTGTCCCTCACATTCGTAGAGAGACATTACTGGGCCCCTCGATGAGTGAGTCTGAGAAATGTATGGCCATACTATAATGGAAAGGTAGTTCCATTTCTATACTCAGACTACTCAGGGATCGAGAAAGTAACGGTCATGGATAGGAGGATGACGTTCTCCATGCCTCATCCATGACCAAAATGTCGTGAGACAAAAGGGACGTGATATGGTTGTATGAAAGGTTGCATCGTTCAATGATCCTCGTATGATTTGGGTAGTCGTGATGTCTTGCTAGAGACCGCTTACGACTTGTGGGTCATTATAGTTAATGGCTCACTGCCAACTTCATATGGGCCTACAGGGTCGCACACAAAATAGCCCGACACGAGTTATGATGTCCAGATTCATTGAATCTAAGATATGTCCAGATTCAATGAATAATATAGGGTCGACGTGTATATATATATATAAATTCGTATATATATATATAAATATAAAAGATATTAATTGTTAGATTTAATTTATAAGGATAAATTAAATATATACAAATTAATTCCGTCATCTCTTTATTAAATAAATAGGAGAATTAAATCTGTGAGACGGATTTAATTTAAACCATATTTATTTAATTGTTCTCTTATCTGATTAGGCAATATTTGATATTGTATTAATTTCGGAATTAATTTAGAGTTAATTTCGAAATTAAATATTATTAATTAAACCTATATAGCATCCTATATATTGGTATGAGGAGCTAGGGTTTAAGCAAGAGAGAACCAACAGATAAGAGACGGCCTAAGAGAGAAGAGAGGGCGGATTCCTAAAACCCTAGACGGACATAGGCGCTAGCACGCCGTTCGAGGTTGAGGGCTACTCGTGTGGATACCGGTAGAGGAAGCCGACCGGAGTTGTCGACTTCGAACGACAAAGGAGGCGAGCAGAAGCATCCTGAACGGCCGAATCATCGAGTCACCAGGGAATCGAACGCCTAAAGGTAATGCTTCTTACTACCTGACTTAAACGCGATCGGTAGATCCGGAAAGGGATTGAAAGTTTTAAAATTTCGAGTTGTTTTTCCGCTGCGCGTCGTCTTTCAATTCCCTACAGTTCAGCCCCCTCGACGTACGCTCTACCCTTATACGGGTCTTCCAGCTATCGTTTAACCACCATTTTTCCTCCTCCACCTTCTCCCCTCCCTTCTTAGTCACCGTCTCATTTGAACAAGCCTGTTTATACGTCCTCTGTTTTGTCCTGTCAGGGGGATCATGGGCTTCAGCAGCAGTGTCGGCTATGCCATCCTCAAGCATCTAGTGCTCTTCTCTTGGAACGATCAAGCGTTCGTTGACCTTCACCCCAGGCCATATTCGAACCTTCTTGCGGCTGCGCTCAAGGTCGGTCGCTTCCTCCGCCGTAATGCCTACGTTCCCATCGCCTTCTATTCTCTCCATGCAGGATCTAATAAATATATATATATATATTTGTGCTTAACATAAAAAACATACTCTTATAATTAGTTGTATTGAAACTTATCCTCCTGGTATTTGAATTCTGTTATTCAAACTTACTGCCAATCTTTATTTTAATGATAGAGATAATTTTTTGCATTTAGGGCGTTTTAGTAAATTCTCATGAAGAAGTTGTTAGATGTGAATTTTACTACCTCTGTCTTTAATATAAAATCTACTTTGTATTACTATTTTTATTATAAAATGAGTTTTATATTAAACAATGCCTTTTAGTAATTTGCTGGCCAAATTAAAAAAAACTTAAAAATAAAATGGGGTTTTCGAATATCTTGGCCTTTTTTAAATGTTACTAATTCAATGACATATGCGTGCATATGCATTATGTTTCTTAGCTGTTTTTCTTAACATTATCTACATCTTACCCTGTATATATATGTGTGTGTATATTAAATTTAAAATATATTTTATTGATAAAAAGGAAACTAATATATAATACATATTTTTATATGCTAGACTTCTTTTTAATTAGAAGAATATTTATATAAAGTTATAAATGAGGATAAAATTGAGTAGTTGTAAGAATATAAATTTGATTTTTGTGTTTATTTAGTTTAGAGAGGATAAACGTATACTTTATTTTCGAATTTATATAGTGCGTAAATTAAGTTTCGTCTATTTTTTTTTAAATGTAAAGATTTATTTTGCTTTTTAGTTTAAATTCTGCAACCCTATATCCAAATAGGAAATTTTCTAGTCAGGGTTTTGTAGTCCAATAAAACCAAACACCTTTAATTTTTGTAGTTTTAATATGAAATTTAAGACTTAGGGTTTAGGGTTTAATATGAGATTCAGAGTACAAACTCTACATGATGAGTGAATATAGACTATGGAGGATAATAAAATTTTTCTAATTAAAAAAACATTTGAGTTGGTTATATGCTAACGGATAATATGAAAAATGAGGTTTATTATTTGCAAGTTTTTTTTTGGTAAATATTTTTCTATGAAATTTGGTAAATATTAGTTACAAGATTAAGTAAAGCGAAATTTATATCAATTTGCATCATTATTTATTTCAAGTCAAAGCATATAAAATGATGGTCATCCTTTGTTTAAACCGTTTAAATTGAATCTGAAAATCTTATATTTTGTAGGAAATAAAAAGGTTCACACTTTATTTATGAACTTAGCAAGTGTTTGCTTAAAAGAATAAAACATAAAATAATTTAGGATTAATAACGTCTTGTTATAAAACTAAAAAAAGAGTAGACAATAAGAGAGAATTGATTGAAGACGGGAGTACGTATTTCTTATTCTATTTAAGGGTACTAAATACATGATATATGGTTTCTATTTATAGGCACAGCTTTATATTTTTTTACAGAATCTACAAATTACATAATAATATGAGATAATTGTGGGATATAAAGATAATGAGAGATATTAGAGATTATAAAAGATATTAGAGATAATGGGAAATATATGAACATCCACAAAGATATTATTACATTTATAATACTCTTTCTTAGACGTCAATTATATATGAACGTGCCTCATTAAAAAATTTCAACTAGGAAAAACCCTATGGGACAAAAACCTAGTGGAAGAAAAAGAGTACATTATTCATTAATACACTATATAACGCTGCCTCATTAAAAACCTCGTTAGAAAAACCCAGTGGGACAAAACTATAGACAAGAAAAAAAGAGTACAGCATGTATCAACTCCCCCTTTTGACAATATCAATTGATATCTTCAAACCTACAAAGTCTATTATAACGAATAAATCTTTCAAATATTGTATTAAGATTAAAAAAAACATCATATATTAATTTCATAATCTTCTGAAAATCATGAGACAAATAGTCCTTTTATGGTTTACTCATATGTGGATCATATTGTGATCTCTCAACATGAGGATCAAACAATAATACTTTATTTACATAGCTAATAAGATTAGTTTTGGGTACTTTTCGATAAAATAATATCACATCCACGATACCCTTAAAGTAACGAAGAATGTTCTTAACTTCACTCCATCGTCTTTGTGTTAGTAAAGAATTATATCATACTAATTAACAAATGATATATTGGGTTTTGTGTGACTAGATATATATATGCACTCCAGTGACACTAAAATATGGTACTTCTGGACCAAGTATTTATTCATCACCTTCTAGAGATCTAAATGGATCTTTAATCCACATTTAAAGATCTTACAGTTATCAGAGCACATAATAGATGTGGCTTAATTATCCACATAGTAGCTGTAACTTATCCATGTTTATTCTTCCTAAAACTTTCATTTCAAATTCTTTCTTTAAGAAAATCACTGCTTTTATAAACTTCTTATAAGTTTTAATGCTATTTATATCATCAACATAAATAGCAATGAGAACAAGCCCATTTCCAGATCTTTTCATGTCTAGGCAATTTGAAATATTTTTTATATCATCACCTTAATCGATATTTACTAAGCAGTTGTACCATATATGTCTCTATTGGTATTCTTGAGAACATAATTGTATGCTTCTAAAAGCTTGAATCTTTCAGGAATTTTTATATATTGTGATTGAAATTTATTCATAAATTAGATCATTTTGAACTCACTCAAAGATTTGAATTTTTCTGAGATTCACATAAAATTTCACCATATAGTAAGTTACTATATTTCCTAGACGCATATGAAATATTCTCGTATATTATCAAACTATCATATTGATAAGATATATAAAAATTTTAATTCACCACAAAATTATATTCCTCTTTTCTCGTACAAATGCCCATTTATATAATATTAATATTACATTTCAAGTGTTTGGGCTAAAGATATACAAATCTCCTGTTATAATGTCGTGTCTTTTCTTTTTTGTTAGCTAACTATTTTTCTGTCTGCATCTCATGACAAATTTATATATAATATTCTCATTTGATCACATGATATCATCACTAAAATTATTGTTGACAACTTTAGTTCTTTATTGGTCCCTTTTTTCTTTT